TAGTTAACTCTTGCCTCTCATTGAACATGTGAGAGTTTGGTAGTTACCTCTTGCCTCATATTGAACATGTGAGAGTTTGGGTAGTTACTTCTTGCCTCTCATTGAACATGTGAGAGTTTGGTAGTTACCTCTTGCCTCTCATTGAACATGCTAGGGTTTGGGTAGTTACTTCTTGCCTCACATAAAACGTGTAAAACAGGGGTACTGATGCTATTGGTTCTGTATAATCATCTTGGTCAGGAAACAACAGATTCTTTATATTACCTCATTGAGAATGATTGTGTATGTTCATGCATGCTTGATTGTAAAGAGGGTTCTTTCATTTTCTTTCTGTAAAATGAACACACTTATACTTAAAATCAATGGTTACGGCACATGTTTGTTTGTTCACAAAATATGAGTGTGAATAATGATGCATCAATGCAGTCATGTTTGCACACAGATCTACCCTTGGCAGGACATTTTTAAAAGATGGAATGTTTGTCTCTGGCGTACTATTTCCACACTGAATTTTAACAGATGGGAGGATCTATGGTGATGATTACCTTGAGTCAGCTCCTCAGTGCCCTTCATCTACCTGCTAGCTATTGCAGGTTTATCTTCAGACTTAATCTATTGAATAACCACATGGAGTTCTTCCCAAAAATGTGAAAATATTGGTTTGGTGTTCCAATTACAGAATGTAAATACATTTATCTCAAATTCTATCTGCATGAAGAGATTGATTGTGCAAAAAGTTTTAGATTGGTCATTTGCTTCAGAATAGAATAGAATGGAATCAATACACTTTATCTTAAGGACATGAAGTTTGAAGAAAAACAAACATTTTAAGTGTGTTTTTAATGAATTTATTTTTTCAATTCTGCCTGAAGTTCTTCAAGTAAATCGATATCTGATGAATTTTTTTTAAATCAAGACTTCCAATATAAATTACCCTTCCTAACAATTTTGTTGTGAAAAACATGTCCTAGGCTCTGTTTCACAAAGCATCACTTTAGCTATGACAGTGGTAACTCCCACATATAAACATAGACTTTTAGAAGGTTGTGATGAGGATCAGGAACCAGAATTGTATCAAAGATAGGTCATGGTGTAAACTTCATGTATATTTGAAAGGTGGTATGTTCAAGGTAAGGGTTGATATGTTTCCTCAAAAGGATTGTAACTATTTAATAATCACATATATCAATTATCTTTAAACTGAGATAATTTGAGGCTATAATAAATAAAGTATTAGATTTTCTTTCCTGTCTGCTGTGCTACAAAACTCCCTACCAAGCTCACATGGTTTTATTGTCTCAAGGGACCTACAGAAAATCACTGTGTTGCTTCTTTCTTCATTAGATGGAGTGCACCGTATATATAGTTCTACCAAACTTTCAAGGGTCATGTGAATCGACAGCTGATGTACACAGATGCCGTGAACAATTCCTTAAAAATAATATAAACTAAAATGTAGATGAAATTCTGATAATTAATTTATTGTTGTCTAAACTAAATGAAACAAAGCAGAAACTATGATGCAGCAGTGTGTGAATGGAATATAATGGTAGTGTTTTGTTTGTTTGTTTGTTTGTTGTTTATCACCGCACTCTGCAATATTCCAGCTACATGATAGCGGTCTGTAAATAATCGATTCTGGACCAGACAATACACTGATTGCCATCATGGGCATCAATCTTTGGAACTGGGATATGATGACATGCGTCAACCAAGTCAGTGAGCCTGACCACCCGATCCTGTCAGTCGCCCCTTATAATGGTAGTACACAAGAATACCTCAAAACTCCCCTATGATTTTGACAGATGGTTGCTTCAGGCTCGTCTGTTACAGACACTGCATCACTATCCACAGTCAGTTTCATAGTGATGCAGCATCATTCACATCATTATTCCTTTTGATCAACTATTCTGTAAACTGTGGATAAGATAACACCAAACAAAAAATAATCCAACTAAAACTAACCACAAAGAACACTGATATAAGCATCAATTGTTGCCGATGGCATGTCTGTTTCATGCTAATGTTTTTGAGAATGTCATATACATCTGGCTTCAGTTGTGTTGGTGCCCACATTAGGCTGCATCCTGTTATTAAGTGAAGATGTGTGTTTACAGTTGTCTTATTATTTATATAAGCCAAATCCATCTTTTCATTTGCTTTAGACTTGTTGTTTGAGAAGATGTTTTATAGAATTTGTCTAGATCGTTTTCATTGGTTAGCTATTCAGACAATAGTTTATGCTCTTATCTAAGACTTGAAAACGCCTTTGAACATTTTTCATCCCTGTAAATGAGATCCTGTTTGACTCTTTCTGGTTGTTGTCACCTGTATAGACAAGCTCCCTGAGACAAGGGACAAGGAGACTTGCATTGAGTAGGTGGAGAAAATGACTGGAGAGAGAAAATAGACATAATTTGGGAGAAGACTTCACGTTTTTGGTCATGAAAACAACTGACATACATTTGGGAAGGTCATCTTTTCTTTGTTCACTCAGGGGTTAAAATTGTCACCCCACATCTCACCCATCAATTGTAAATGATCTGTCATGTTGTCTTGATGCAGTCTCTAGAGCTTTGCTCCATACCAATGCCAAGGGTGTTGTGGTCTAGTGGTAGAGCGTGCGCCCGGAGAGCGGAAGGTCCGGGGTTCGGTCCCCGGCAGGGTCATACCAAAAGACGTTAAAAGATGGTACTTGTTGTTACCCTGTCTGGCGCTCAGCATTAAGGGGCTAAAACAAGGACTGGTCGGCTCAAAGTCAGTATACTGTGTCTGAGTGGGGTTTTCATGTTAAACTGCGGCATGGTATCTCAGTGAGCTAGCACTATAAATCAGCATCAGTCTGGACTAGTACAAGTAAACACATGTACATGCACGTCGCTATATAAGTGCAATAATCTTGGACGCAACGTTAAACCCCATTTCACCTCACCTATTGTTAGGACTTGTAAGTTATTCAAAAGAATGCAATTGTTCGCAAACATCATGTATTCAAGAATAATGAATTGCAACATTAAGAGGAGACATTGATATGTCATACCATATACATAAGACAAGTGTTCCATGTGAAATAACTGGCCCTGTTGCCTCTAGAAGACGTCATTGTCATACAACGTATCCTATGAGACAGAAAGGAAACAATGACTGCTTGTAGATGTTTTTATGTCAAATCTGTTCTTATGTTCTTCTGTCAAATATTATGCTGTGTTGTCTTTCTGTCACAAACTGAAAATCTTGTTTTGTCTGTATTCATAATCACTAATGTCATAAGTTAAGCAACTTCAGACCTTTTGTAGGTTTCATATAACCTGAAGATTTTCTTTCAATATTGTAAAGGAAAAAAATTGATGTCTTGGTGAAAATGTGTGCAGCACATTTTCACTTGAATTTTATTCTGTGGTATGTAAATCCAATGCCATACAAGCATGGACCATTGTTAATATTGACGTCACCCCAGTGTATGTATCCAAGATATTTTAACATATGATCTATAAATATAGATTGAAAAATATACATAGTTGTTTAACTTGTGACCAACAGTATATCATTTATTGTAGAATTTTAGTTGCTGTTATTTTGTTCATGTTGTCATTTTTCTGTATTATTTGTGTTGTGATTTGTATTAGGATTACTTTCACAAAATATTTGTACTTTATGGACCTACTTTGTGTATGCAGGATGCTTTCAGTTTTTTGAAGCATGTCTCTGATAATGACTTAATTTTTTAATATGTTCTTTAAGAAAAATTTCTTTGAAAACCTATTGTTATTTTTCATTGTCACGCTAGCAGTTTCTTCACTTGTTAGGCAGATGTATATTGATGATATAGCCTATTTTGATGAATAGACATTTATTAGACACAGGTGTGTGTACCGGTAGTTATAAGGAGACCGAGAGGAAGGTACAGTGGAAGGGATGAAGTGATTGCTCACAGCAGCCTTTATCATCTGTAGTGTGAACTACTGGATGCAGTTTATTGTAGTTTAACTAGTGGTAGGAAGTCAGCCAACAGTTTCATATTTTAAATTCTGCTGTAGAGTGTGCTCACATGTAAGGCAACAGGGATTACTTCGCTTTACAAAGTTTTCAGCCAAGATGTCAAAAACATTGTGTGTAGAAATTGGACAATTGAAAATATTCCATTAGAAAATCATACTAAATTTATCTAACAGTGATAACCTAGATTTCAGTTTGGACATTCTTGTGAGTAAAAAGTCTACTTTAGTTATTTTCCTCAATGTTGAAAACAAAACTATTAGACAATTAGGACATTTTGAGAAGAATATTTGAAATAAAGTTCAGGATTTGACTTTCTCTATACATCTGCTGAATAAGGGATAGGAATACCTGTAGGAGTATAGCTGAAATAGAAGAAGGGGGGTTGTTGGATGTTGTTCCTTACCTCCTCTGTTGGTACAGATGTTATAGAAAAACACAAAGCAAGGAGCAGTATTAGTTGACACATGTGCACAAATGCATGCCATATAGCATGTTATATGTAATTTTTAAATGGCCTTAGTTCTGTTGGTAAATAAGGGACAGCTTGTAGGTTATTTTGCCTTTTGTCTATATTGTCATATTATAGAATCTATTAATCTATTCATATAAATAAAACGTACATTCTAATCTTCCAATAATGATTAATTTACCTGTTCATGAAACATTCACCAAAATATCATTTCAAGTCACACTTCATCATAAAGGCTTTTGAAAAGAATATCCAAAATACATTTTTAAAAACAGCTTTTTTCATTAGTTAACCTTGCATTATTTGTCACTGTCATGCCGATGTATTTTTGTGTGAAGCAGATGTGTGAAGTTTATTTTGATGTATAGACTTTGTTCACTCCATCCCTTACAATCAATGTGCTGTTAAAATTGGAGAACAGTGTATTATCCATGTCCTGTGTGTGGCGTGTGCAGCACATGTTTGTCATGTCCATTGATTGTAGTGGTTTTGTAGCTTATTGTTTGATTAATGGTGTCAACTTCATCTTCAGACCTTGGGCAGTTTGCATTTTGGTGAAAAATATCAGGTAGTTTGAAAAACCCACCATTGTTTTGTATTCTCCCATTTCCCTTTGTCTATGTTTTCTGTACGTCTTGCTACATTTTGCCAGATCTACAGTTTGCTAATCATGTCATGTGCCTGTGTGTTTGTTATCACATCCTGCAAAATGTATTTTATATCATGCAATTCCAGTGTATGACATTCAATGTCACTTTTCTTCCTTCACGAAAAATTGTAAGTTTTCATAATATATTATTCAAAATCTCATGTTTAATTTTTAGCCACATTTTCGAATATATTTGGATGTACATAATACCACCTGTTACATGTTTATGAAAAAATGTATGAACTGTCATTTTCATATTCAATTTTAAATGTTTCGGTGACTTTGGATTCTGTCTCTGGACCTCAGTAAAACACATTCTCATGATTATTCAATGCTCTATGAATATACATAATGTCTTTCTTTGTTTCCTCATAAATAGCTTAACACTGTAGATGAACTAAATGAAGTTAAGGTAAAATATGAAACTATTACTACACCAAATATCCACTGAACTGTAAGAGTGTGGGGAATCAGGTGCATTAGCTTGTGTCCATCTGGTATCGTCATGTGAAGTCATTCTTCTTACATTTTTATAAGATATCCCAGAAACTCAGGAAGTAAATATGTCATGATCATCCTTGTTCATTTCTTCATGAAAAGGCATGGAACATTCTTGAAAATTCTTCAGATGCATATCAACCTATTTTGAAAGTGATCAACCTGGAAATTCTTTCAAAGCAACGAACAGTTCAATGGATAATTTGTTTTGAAACACACTTTCCTTCTTTGCTTCAATTACATTCATCTTAAATGAAACCATTTGCAAGCTCTTATTACCAAGTTGATATCTCTTTCCATTTCGTTAATAAGTGGTTTAGTCAAAGTCAGTGTGCTGCAACGTAGTTCATAAGATTGAATGCATCACATGTGTGTGGTGTTGCTGATGTTGCAAGGATGTGACACATGTTGTTGAGGATGGTTGCGCACACAAACACAGTTTGACACTGAAGAACTTAAACCTCCTGGCATGAAAGTGATGTCAATCTGACCAATAGCGTGGCCACAATGGCTGCTACATATGGATTTGTTTGTGTGATCCCTGGAACTCACTCTGCCACTTTGGTCCCAGGAAAACTCTCAGCTGAGTCATGGCTGATTATGTCCGACATGCTACTCTGTGATGCTTAACTAATGACCATTGCTTTTTCTTGCTCAAGCTGCAGGCCACATTGTGAAGCTATATAGTAATAATAACAATGTTCACTTGATCTGTCACTCAATAATATTTGCAATCCACAAGCTGTCATAGCTACTGTTACGCTTGTTTTGCTTGTTGTTTTTCATGAAAGGATTATGATGCTGAAGACAACTTCATCATAAAATGTAATCTCATGCATCCATTATGAAGTGAATTTTACTGCATTGGTACTTTTAAGTTTGATATGTGTCATCTTGATTCCTTGTCAGTTTGTATCACTGTTGACTATATACCCCAGCCTTCTTGAAACAATAACCGCCTCATTGGCCCAGTGGTAGAGCCTCCGTCCGGAGAGTGGAAGGTTGGGGGTTCAATACCAAAAAACGTTTAAAAATGGTACTTGTTGTTATCCTGCCTGGCGCTCAGCATTAAGAAGCTAAAACAAGGACTGGTCGGCTAGGAGTCAGTATACTGTGTCTGAGTGGGGTAGTCATGTCACACTGCGGCATGGTATCTCAGTGGGCTTGCACTAGTCCAGACTAGCACTTAATACCACACAGACCAATACCTGGGATTGAAGATATTGCAGTGTATTTAAAACTGAAATGAAATTCAGTGCTGCCTGCACACTTCCACACAAAACATTCTCAGCAGCAGGATGTTGGGTGACGTACAGGCAGGGTAATGTCACATAAGGCAGAGAGAAGCCACCACCAACCATTAGTGTAAATTGATCAATGATTAGTCCATTATGGAAACAGCTACAGGTGGTATTAAGTCAAGTGATATTTGATTACCACTGGAATTAGATCTTGAACCTAGAATTGCCATGTTGTTTGGACAGAATAAACTAACTTTGAAGCAAGCTAAGTGTAATGCTGGTGATGCAAGGTGGTCGTGGAGATGGTGGCAGATATCACATAGCTCCAGAAAAGAAGCACATTGCACTTTGAAAGTTCTCAAGTTTATTAGTAAACCAGCATTTACCCTTTCCTTCAACAGTGTTTTTGTAATCGAAAGAATTCATCAAAGAATCACATGACTGCCGTATTTGTAAAGAATATTTGTTAACTCCACCATAAACAGTTATTACCGACTAAGGGCACTTCTTCCAAGATGAATGAAGAAAATATGGACCTCATTTGCACACTTCCTGTAACATTTCTAACCCGAAAGCAAATATCAAAATTGATCAACTAGTTACTTGAAAAACAAAGATTTATATGTGAAAACAACATTCTGCAGAAAATATAGCACCTGCTTGACCAGTTTTGTTGTGGACAATGAAATTGACAAATGTGTAATTATCCTATTAGAGTTTGACTCTCAGCCAATTTACCATGTACTTTCAGAGTTTCTCAGTAAAAACACAAAAGCACCTGCAATTTCTTGGAATAATTTAAAGCTTTACAGAAATACAGTAATCAACATCGTTGCTCTGCTGGGTTAGAAATATATGGTTGTGATGTGCAGTTGGCATGGTAGAAAGCAGCATGATTGATTATCCCCTTAGCCTGTCCCCCCCGCACAGTGTAATTGACATCCTGTGTGCAGTTGCCTATCACTTGCATGTCAATCATCAGGGCGTAATGTACAACTGACATCACATTTTTTACAAAGGAATTTAATGCTTTAATTTTGATAACATTTTGCAAAACCTTAATATTTTGTGTTTACAGCTCTTAAATTATTCATTAAGCAATTATTGAGTTTGAGATGTAAAAAAGAAAATTTGAATCAATAACTTTGTTTGAATGAATGTGTGTGCATCCCTCATGATGAAGAACTGACCGAGTCGGCATATTTTTATATGAATCCTGAAATTTGGGGCAGATTCCTATCATATTGCTTCCAAATTTAATACCAGATTTGTATTTTGAAAGCATATTTATATGACAAGAACAAAAACATAATATCAACAACATTGATAACTTTGTGATTTATATTGAATCTAGACGAAATGGCTTGTTTAATTGAGAAATGTAAGATATCATGAAAAAACAGTTTGAGGTTTTCTTGATGATTGTGCCTGAAAAAGTTAATGATGTTTGATAATTTTGATGACTTTTTTAGTGAATGATTTACACACAGTTAATCTTTGCTGGCTCTTTCTTTCATTTTGGAGTCATTGTTTGACGAGCAGTGTAATTGCAACTGGAGCATGTTCATTATCAACCTTCATGTTAAGACCGCCATCTTTGGGGAATTTGTATCAGATTATTGAGATTAAGCTCTTGTATAACAGGGCATTATGAATTTGATATAATGAAGTTTTGATTATTGTTTTCTTTTCACCTTTTCACATACAATCTCATTTAAATTTGATGCAACGATTTGATACACTCTCCATCAAAAGGAGATGCATTGGAGGATGCATGGCATGAACTTTTTAACAGTCATTCAGCATGGAAACTACAAAATTCTCAGAACAAGAAGGCAAAGCATTTGTCATAGCATATTACTTTGTCTCAAACCAGAATTATACAGGCAGTTCTGAATGGAACAAAAATAAGGGCTGTGCTGTGTATATTATTGTGGATACTATGTACACCTTATCATTTCTCAGTGCCATGGCATATTCATGCAAAAGGGTTCACTACACATTTGTGATCTGTGTGGGTTTTTCTTTTGATCAAGATTTTTTAATTGAAATGGTAAAGAAATAAAGCTTAATTTTTTTAGAAAGCTGACATCTCATTGACTCAAGAACTGACATCCTTTGTTTTGATTGGGTGGTTAAAGTTCACTCAGGGTTTCCCCTGACAGACCTTCAGTTAAGGATTTGTCAGGTCTGGATGAGGAGATGTATACAATCAGATGTAAATTTAATGAGATTGCATGTGATAATGATTTTAACAAGCCACAACTCTGTCCATAAAGGCAATTTCCTAACCTGCATTTTGACAGTGATGAATCTTATTTCCTTTCAGTGACAGCATACAGCAGTGAAGACCTGCTTTTTCTGACATTTGATTGCTTCTTTCCAGTAGCTGGGCCTAGAGGCCACTGAACCCACCTTGACTTCGTACCCCACTGTGTCTGTTTGACTGCTCCTGTATGTGACTGACTTTGATCCCTATTCCAGGCCCCTGAAGGGGAGAACCAGCCCAGCACTGATGTGGATCTGTTTGTGTCCACTGAGAAGATCATGGTCCTCAACACCGATCTGCAGGTCAGTTCATTCCACTAACACGTGGGGATTTGGGGTTAGAATCGGTCTCCAGAAACCTATACTTGTCATAAGAGGCTTAATAGACTGGGTGATCAGGCTAGGTGACTTGGTTGAATATGTGTCATTGTACACTGATGTGGATCGTTACTCACAATATTAATCGCACATAAAGGTCTGACACAATGGAGTTTAGCTGTATATCTAACTTTGCTGATCAAAATGATCTCACACATACTCAGTCCCTCCTATTTTAAGATTCAATGTACATTATGAGTATACATGTACTAGGAAGTTTGAACATCAATTTTCCATGTATGAAAGTGATGAATGACCGACTGACAGAACCTTCTGTTATCGGTGTATTTGAAAACAGTCAAAGAACGTATCTTGCAGGACTAATGACAGAATCTATCATCTCCTTCCTTGAGGACAATTTAGGCATAACTTTCCAAAGTACATATTGTGATGAAGATATATTTCCATGGGTTATATGTATCTTACAAAGAGACTCCCCTAAATAAAACTGCACTGCCATGTAATTTTGTAACTATGAACAAAACAAATCTTACTGAAAGAGGAAGGATAGGCCATTACCTGAAATTTGTAAACTAAGTTTTACTTCTTGAAAACAACTTTTGGCTTATTTTCTCCCAAGCAATTATTGTTCTTCTTTATAATGGCTTTAAATAGCCTTTGCCTTACTCAAGCCATTCAGTCACAGGTCAGCCTTCTGCAGCAATTTCCGATAAAACATATCACTGACACTCATGTAATTTGCTCTCTCTTCTTGCACGCTGCAAGGTTTCCCAAAGAATAGTTGTAATTGTGACCAAGTCAGGTCATTTTGTCCCTGAAACAGAAGCCCTGAAACCATGTAAGCCAACACCCTTGTTTACTGCAGGCTGAAGAAGTGTCCATCTAGGTATTGAGCTGGACACAATGGTTGGGATTGTGCTCTGTGGTCTATTATCGTCCTGAAACCCTATTCTTCAATCGGGGGACCTGTGTACTGTCCTGACAGTTTTCACACGCCTAGTCTGACATTTCTACATTACTGTCAGTGATTAGTTCCAAAGTAACATGTTGTGTAATATATTGCCCTTAACTTGACGTGGATGGTTGGTTAGTAGATGTGAATGTCTTGTTATCTTCTTAAACGAGAAAATGAAATGAGGTTAGCCCCAACCATGGTGAGCATTAAGTTACAGCCTGATTTTTCTAAAAGTGGATTGAAATAGTAAAAAGAAAAGTAGATTGTATGATGATGAGATCATTAGGACAAAGATTATCACATTAAAAACTATTATGATAATAATAATCATAAAAGATATGACCCCAGAAGATCCGGTTAGAACCCATGCTTGCCGTTACAGGCGACTATGCTTGTCGTAGGAGGATCGGGTGGTCAGACTAACTGACTTGATTGATTCATGTCCCCAATTGCGCAGATTGATGCTCATGACATCATTCACTGGATTATCTGGTCCAGACTTGATTATTTACAGACCGCCAACATACAGCTAGAATATTGCTGATTGGTCATTTAACAACCAGCAAATTAACAAACAAACAAACGTGAAGGATATGATGAAAGTTGTGATGATTATTATTGTGGTCATATTGTGTACAGTACAGGTGATGATGAAAAACTTTATGACATCACAATACTGATTATGATTAGTCTTAAGATCTTGTTATGTTCTTCAGGAAATAATGATGGACCACTCATTACGAACGATATCCTATATTGCGGATATCGGTGATATTTTGGTGATAATGGCACGACGTCGCCTCATCACAAGCCCAGATTCAGAGTCTCTACGTAGAAGACGACAGGCAAAGATTCTGTGTCATGTCTTCGAGTCGGACGAGGTAAGTGCTCATCAAATTAGTCCCATTTGCTGTAGAAGCGACACCCTGGAAGAGTGCATGCCAATATCAGGTCCTCATTGATGGACCTGGACGATGCAGAGGAGATGCTTACTTGTTCAGCAGCACATAATCTGGAATACATTCCAGTTTATGGTCTTATCTTCATTACTGAAGGCCATGATAAACTTATGAGATTGTCCTTTCCATCTGCCCCATAGCCAAACTACCTGTCTCATTTGATTTTACAAGCCAATGATGGCCATTCATAAATAGATGAGCCTCAGTCACCAGTCCAGGACATGTCCTGTTCTTTGTTACTGACAATCACCTTAATATGCCTGTACTGTCTGTAAATGTTTAGAACTTCTTCATGAGTTTTTCTTCTGCTGCTTCTGCTGACATCTTCTATTTTAGCAAAAGTCCTGAATATTTAGAGACTATTATTCTTCAACCAGATGAAAGGGCAGGCAACTCCAAAATCTTGCCAGCACGGTCATAACGTTACCTGTCCAATGTCTTCATTTAGCATGGAACCAATTGGGATTATTTCCACTGAATACATTTTTACCAAAACAAAACAGATTTTGATTCTATTTGATGTCACTTTGGCTCCATGTTAAATAAAGACTTGTCCTTGTTTTAATATTTGCATTTTATGGTCATAACAGAATTATGCACACAAATGACCATGAAACATCGTAACATTTGTAAGAAATATTGCCTGTTCCCGGCATACTTTGTGTGGGATCTGTACAAGAATTTTCAAACACATTGCTGACAATTATATTTAATTATTTGATAATAATGCCATGAAAGGCCATGTGCTGCATAAACCAGACTTGAAAGATTATTGCCCACGACCAAAGTGTCTCTTTCTGACATTTTGCTTGTGCAGGATTCATTGGAAGTTATAAGCAGATGCATGGATTACATCAAATGCTGCTCTGTTTTGTCACACAACGTGTGATATGTTTTGCCATGTATTCAGATTAGGATCAGCAGACTTGTGGCATATGCTTCTTCAGATCAGGTTGACCTGGAAACAGCTTCACACTGATCTATGAGTGGTAACTTGGTGATGAACCAAGAAAATGGTGAACTGAATGTGGTTAGAGAGAAAGAACGCCTGAGGGCAAATAGGTATCACAATTCTTGGCTGTGTCACCATGGACAGGTTTTGTCCAGTCACAGCCCCTGTGCAACCGTGAAAGGTCATTAGCAACCCATGCTTGCCATTAAAGGTGACTGCTGGTCGTAAGAAGTGACTAAGGGGAATGGTTGGTCGGGCTTGCTGACTTGGTTGATGTGTTGAACAACAAACAAACAAACAAAACAAACAAACATACAACCCTGTGGAGGGATTCTGGGTCACACTGGGACCCAAGTACCCCATATATGACATCATTATGATTGTTGTAACAATGTTTGGTTTAGCTGAGGTGTGCTCATACCCTGATGACAGCTATAGGTGCTCATACTATCGTCCATCACATGCTCCAAGATGGATGTTCCGCAGGCTGTGGTTATATAACTGGACTATTGCTGATGGCCGTAAAATTTCTTTTTTCATGCATTTAAATGCACACCAGCTATGGAAACTGTTCTTGCTTATCAAGACTGGATGTGCGGTGTGTTCACAGATGGGGCTGTTAGATTGGCCAGGGTATGTAGTGGATGAATTCGTCATACAGGGAAAGTCACAGTAAACTACTTCAAAATTTGAAACAAGATTGCTGGGATGATGATGAAACTTCCAAGTGGGTAAACAGAGAGAGAGAACAACCTGAGACCTGTGTTTCGGCCTTTGTCCCCTCATCAAGTTGACATGCCGTGGTGCAACTGAAATACTGTTACAGTCTCACCCCTACCTAACTCACTCTCACACACCCACACTAATTAGAATATGTTATTCAGAAAATATGTGATATTAAGCACAAATGAAGAGTTTGACATCCTTTTTTATTCTCTGTATAATGTATAATTTCTTAGTTCTTGTTATCTTTCAAGGAAGCCATCTTGCAAGATGTATCCGTGTTGTGAACCCTACTCTTCCCAAGACCTATTCTATATTTTATCAATCACTAAGTATGTGCCCATGACACAAACAGCTTCAAGCACATGTGACTAGTTTTGACAAATGAAACCACTGCTGTGCAAGATAAGAAAGAAGGTCTTTGTTTGAAGTATCTCGCCCATCGCTTTCGATTCAAACAGATGTATTATTACTTATGAATAATACCATATCCTTCTTTTATGTATCTGAAAATGATTAGATTTTCGGATGTCTTAACCTGCATTTCACGAGTGAGTAGACTTAACTTCATGCCTCATCAAGTCTTTGGTACTTATTTGTTGAGAAGATGTGGTGCTGTCAGTTTCTCTTGTTCCTTTATCCTGCCCTGTGTCCCTGTGTTGGGGGAGAGTTAGTTTGCAGGCAGCAGGTGCCTGTCCAGATATGTCAGCCACAATGTTGCTGTGGCTCACCTGGACAAATATACCACAATTCTTGGTTTGATGCGCAGGAGGTTTGAAGGCTACTCTAGTATGAGTTTTCACAATCTGATAAGATATTCACTAGTCCATCATGAGAATTGAAAAATATCTGGCTTATAATGTTTGTTGTGATTGCAATAATTTATAATATTTAATGAGACGGTTGTCAGAAATAACAGTTTGTCATTGAGAAGATACTGAATTTGATTCAATATATTTTTGTGTACATTTGTTCCAAACATATCACATTCATATTTTCTGAATGCAATATGAAATGGGGTACAAGTGTCAGTAAAGTGATCTTGATATTTTTGGCAGTCTACGTCAACTTAAAACCATGAAGTTATGACATTGGGATTATGGTTGGTTGGTTGGTTTGTTGTTTAACACAGCACTCAGTAATATTCCAGCTATATGATGGCAGTCTGTAAATAATCGGGTCTGGACCAGACAATCCAGTGATTGACATCATGAGCATCAATCCATGCAATTGGGATCGATGTCATGCATCAACCAAGTCAGTGAGTCTGAGCACCCGACCCCGTTAGTCGCCTTTTACAACAAGCATAGTCGCCTTTTTACGACAAGCATAGTCGCCTTTTACGGCAAGCATGGGTTGCTGAAGACCTATTCCAACCCGTATCTTCACGGGTCGATTACCACTTGACTTTCATCCCAAATTTTGAACACAGTCACAATCAGCAATATTGTCAGTTTTAGAACTATTTATTTGTAAATGGTAATCCATGCGCTTTGAGGATGACTTGAGTGCTTCAGAAGTTCCCAATCAGGTATTGAAGTTTTCACAAACTTTCTCATCTCCCCTTTGAAATGTAAATAAAATAATTTGATTTTCATTAGTTTCTTGAAGTAAATCCACAAGCATGTACTGTCGGGCATAACTCTCAATTAATTACTCCTTTCTTCAAAAGAAACCGTTCCGCTGTGCTTCCAAGAATCATTTTCCGATGAACAGTCAGGAGAAAGACAGTGAACTGAAACAGTTCCAGTAATAGAATATCTGCGTTTATGTTAACACTTTATTGCAAAATGTTCAATATATTGCCAGCGAAGACACTTTAAGGAAGGCAAAAATTCTTTGTGCTTGCTTTCATAATTGTTGGGTTCATGGTGCAAAAACACAGATTTCAGTGGATATCGATTAAGGAAATTGCATCTCAGCACTTTGTTGGCCCAGTTAGAAATCTCCTGAATGGGAGATCATTTTTGTACTTGAGAAATTGAACCAGAAATGGGGTAATGTGATATGTTTGTGTTACGAAAATGAACTTCTTGAAAAGAATAAGTGTTTAGGGAGATAAGGGATGTTGGGTGCAGAAATTAGTTTCTTTTAGTTGACTTTTATATTGTTAGGGATATTATTGAAGCCAATTAGTGTTAAACTGGACCTTCCTTCGTGTCGGTGTTGACGCAGAAATATTTCACTCCCTGAAAGCTAGGCCATCAGTGTGAGTTAATCATGAAGTGTTGACTCACTTTATTTCTGTTTAATTTACACCAAAATTATATTGAAGAGATCTTCATGTTTTTCTGCTGAGATCTTTCGAAGAGTTTTGATTTGGGTTAGACTATGAATACTTGTTGATCTGTGTGATGTGACTTAATGCTTTTGACAACAAGGAGTGAAGTTTCTCTAACCACATGACAACTGCTGTGGGAAGAAGTGAGGCTTGTTTGTCAGTGTCAGCATGACCCAAATAGCAATAGGACAGATTTCTTTCGTAGATCCAATTGATTAGAAATGAAGCTTTGGGAAATTTTCTTGATCTTGTCAGAGTCATTGAGGTCTAAAATCAGATTGTGGTAATTGGATTGTGCACCTACGTTTCCTGGTTTGTAATCTTGATGTACAGCTAAAGCCATCCATGGCACCACATGGTGTTGTTCAGTATTTTATCACAGTAACTGTCATCATAGAATTTGATTGATTACTGAAAATAAATAATAATTATGATGATGGACTGTGCGGCTTAACAAATCTCCGAACTGTGTGCACAACACACCACTGTCAAAACAGACCAGTGCTCGGTCAAAAGGAACCCTGCACAACAAATTTGATTTCTCTATCTATGTCTATTCTGGAATTAAACAATCCAGATATTTCATATAACCTGTGTAGTGAAGACAAATATTGTAAGGCAGAATTTGAATTTTAAATTTCAAAACTTTCTCTTCTTTAGAAAGCCTAAGGTGTCTGTCTACCTTCAGCTCAATTAACTACCATACACTTTAAAACTCCAGAGGGGAAGGATCTCTCTGTATTTTTCAGACTTAATTAGCATTGAAATTTTTCAACTCCGGTATTTTCCTCTATTTCAGGCAAGAAGGTATGTAAATCTGTGTTTGGCTCACCATCCTGTACCATGTTCCCACTTTATGACAGGGCTTATAAAGACTTGGGTTCCATCCGTTGAATTTCAGCAGGGACAATTTCTTTAGGAACTGCTGTGTATATAAAATGAAATTTTGCATACGTCATTAAAGAA